GTCGGGGGGGGGGCGGCGGGTCACTGTGCCGTGTCCTGGGGCCTGTGATGTGTCCCCCGGGGTGGCGGGGTGTGATATGTCCCCCGGGGTGGCGGGGTGTGATGTGTCCCCCGGGGTGGTGGGGTGTGATATGTCCCCCGGGGTGGTGGACTGCGGTGTGTCCCCTGGTGATGTTGGGCTGGGGGCCGTGGCGTGTCCCCTGGGACGCTGGGACAGGGTCTGTGGCGTGTCCCCGGGGAGCACAAGCGATTGCTGTGGCCTGTGTCCAGGGCATGGGGAGGGCTGCGGCGTGTCCATGGGGGCACGGGGCACAGATGGGGGGCTGCCGGCTTTGTGCAGGAGCGTGTGCCGAGGGCAGGGTGCTGGGGCTGCGCCGGCATGCCAGGAGCGGGTGTCCTTCTTTGAGCCGGGTGTGGGGGTCCCCGAGGGGCCATGGGCTGGGGAGACAGTTTCTGAAGGATGTTGCTGTCGATGTGCCATTGCTGTAATGGGTGTGCTTGTTCTCGCTCCCCCTCTTTCTCCTTGCCGTGGCAGCATTTGGATGTTCGAACACTCCGATTTGTAAGTCCTTCCTCACATCTAGCTACTTTCAACATCTACTTTACAGTGCTGTGTGCTTGTCCATTGCTTTTCAACTGGGAACAAGTACTTCAGCTCACACCCGCCAAAAAGTGTGCGTGTATGTTTATACTTCAGAAATCAGCTCAGCTGTTTGAAAATGGTGATTGCTCTGTGTGGGCTGTGGTGGTGCTGGGCATTTGGAGCTCCCAGAAAATGGTAACCCTGAGCTCCCCATTCCCTGGATAGCTGCAGGATGTGGGTGCTGAAGGCAGGAACAGTGCAGGCTCCTCATACGTGCAGGCTCCTTGCTGTTTTGTCCTCAGCGTTGGGCTTCTCCCTTGTTTGAAACAGGTTGAGACATCAGAGCTGTTTGTAAAAGCCACGTTGTGATGGCTGTTACTGGTGTTTTCCTGCTTAAAGATTCCCCTTGGGCCTCCCTTAACAGAAACCCTGTTCTGTATTTGCAGGGGCTCAGCGCTGCTTGCTTGTCAGCGATGGCAAAGCCTCAGAGCAAGGATTCAGGACTGAAGGAGAAGTTCAGGAATCTCCTGGGGCTGGGAACATCCCGAGGAAGTTCAAAGTCATCGGAGGGCAAGCAAACAGAGTTTATCATCACTGCAGAAATACTCAAGGTGTGAGAACTGACCGTAGTAAAGGTGGGGATAGTGCCTGGATTACCTGAGCTGCGAGGATCGGAAGGAGGGCTTGCTTATTCTCCTTTCTGTTTTGCCATTCATTTGCTCTCCGATCATGCCTTTTTACCTTATCTCTCAATTCATTCTCTAGTGAAATGGATGTAAAACTCACCTACTTTGAAGCTACGGCATTTTAATTATTCAGTGTTTGAATACTTTTGAGATATTTGATAGGATGGTGTTGTCTTCTGTTGGGTTACAGGGTGTTTCCTCAAAATATATTGCTCTTTTTTTATTGTCTGAGCTTGATGAAATTTATGTGGTGGCAGTTAGCAGAAGCTGGAAACTGTTTGTATTTTATGAAAACCTTACGGTTTTGTGAAAATTAAAAAAAAAAAAATTATTCCAGTAATTGGTACAGCAAGTGTGTAAGCAGAATAGTTGGCACGCAGGGAGGAAAACATATAAAAGGGAGAAGGAGACCAGAATCCCTTCCCGTCAGTGCTGGAGCAGCCAGGCTCTTACCTGCTGGAAGGCTGGGGAGCCGGATTTAATGTCCCTCCTTTCCCTGCCCTTCTCCCGTGAACAGGGCGAGTGCCACAGCCAGTGAGTTACTAATATTTATGAAGAAAATGAGATGTTCTGTCCTGGAGGTGAAAAGCTGCATGGCTCCAGTTCTGTGAAAGTTCTAGTTTTGACAAATCATTTGCTAATGAAAAAAAGTTTTTGGAGAAATTCCTGAAAAGTTGCAGTGATGACTAATGGTTAGATCATTTTGGACAAATGTGTAACTTATTCTTCAGTGGTTCATGATCCATGAGAAATGGATAAGTGTTTCTAGTAAGATAAACTGTTAGCTTATTTCTACATTTCTTTCCAGGAACTGAGCATAGAATGTGGATTAAGTAACAGAATACGAGCAATCAGTCAAATTTGTGAAGTGGCAAAAACAAAAAAAATTGAAGAGGTAAGTTTCAAAGTGTTCAGTGAATATTGGAAGGATGAAAATTTAAGCAACAGCTCTTAACCTATCGTAAGAGGCTCTTGTAGTTTAGGCTGCCTTTTAAAATTGGTAATCCCAGAAGCTGTTTTGTGCTGTCCAGACCTGTAAAAGGATAGCTCATGTGCCAAGGAAATTAGTTTTGTCCAACCTACCAACTGTGGAGCAGAGAGGACATAGCTGACGGGCTTCCTGAACTGAATGGAAGGAGAGTGCTGTGAATATGCAGGCCTGTTCAGGACGGTTCATGGGAGATGTTGTTAATCCTGTAGAAGAGGCGTTTGCTAGCTCCTTCTGTCTTGTTAACAACCAACTTCAAATTGGTTTTAAACTCATCTTGTATTTGGGTGAAGGTTTTTGCACAAATGTTCACACTGAAGTAAGTGTGTGAATGAAGAACTTCAGTTACTGGGGTGCAAGTTTTCATGTAGGATGGGATTTGGTGTCTCTTATGTGGTTCATCTGAGCTTATGACTGGGCAGGTGAGAGTGTTCCTCAGAAAAGAGGGCTCCGGACATGAAATCCCTGGAGATCTTGTTCGTTAACTTGCTATAATTAATGACTGACCTACTGGGTAAAGATCCCAGAACCAGCTTAACTTTCCTACTACTGCCTGTCTCCTATGTTTGTTTTCAGCATGCAGTGGAAGCAATATGGAAAGTGGTAGCTGATATGCTCCAGCCAGAGCGCCCCATCGAAGCCAGACATGCTGTTCTTCATCTGCTAAAGTCAATCGTGCAAGGACAGGTGAAAACAAACAAACTGTAGAAGAAACACTACACTTCAACTAGGGTTTGTTCAGAGTGTGAATGTGAAAAACGTTGGGTGGCTCTTGTGTACAACTTTCCATGGTTCTTATTTTGGTTCTGCCTAGTAAATGGGGAGAGGAAGCATTTAAATTTAAGTCTTGGTTTGACCTTATAGCAAAATTTTTCATACAACTTGTAGAAAACTTCTGTTTTGTGGCAATGTTCTTGAAAAAGAGGAAATACTTTGGGTTAAATTCAGCATAGTACGGCAAATTTTATATGGCCCAGATCTATTTAATATATTAAATTATTAAATATATTTTAATAGCCCAGACCTATTAGTCCTAGTCTGCAGCTGTTTTTGATGTGTCAGCATGTCAAGTATGCAAGAAGTTCTGTATGAGATACTTTTCTAGCCTGGCCAAGTTAAACATACTATGAATTCTTCAGATTTCACAATGTGCTATACAAACGTAAGACTGTGTCAGACCAAAGTTCTAGTTTTCACTATTCTGAAAAAGTAGGGGTAGACGCTTATGAAAAGAATAGGCATTGATTCTGGTTTGTTAGCTTGTTTTTTTTTTTTTTTTTTTTAAACGGTTTGCTGGCAGTGCTGTCAGTTGCAGTTTCCGTGGATTACTTTGTGTATTGGATGCTGTCTCTGTGTTGCTGGACAAAATGCCTCCAGCCCTGGGTGCTGGTATAACAGATTGAGAAGACCTGAGCCATTGTCAATAGCCAGTAGAGGCTGGAGGTATTTTCAGGAGACTTTCATAGCCTGTAGGACAAGAAAATAATTTCAAGCATGAAGATTACTGTTATAGACCTTGATAAGGTCCAGGCCTTAACTGTCTTTTTTCATCAGTGACACTGTTATTCCCCTCCCCTCCTCTTTTTTTTTTTTTTTAAGGGTGAGAGATTAGGGATCCTCAGAGCACATTTTTTTAAAGTAATTAAGGACTATCCCTCCAATGAAGACTTGCATGAACGGCTTGAAGTGTTCAAGGCTCTAACGGAGAATGGACGATACATCACCTACTTAGAAGAAGAGTTAGGTGAGTATTGTCTCTACCCCTCTTCAATTTGGTGGGAAGAAGTCAAGGGGCAGGCATTCAGTCATATGAGAACAAGGTAGTGGTAACACTTCTGGGTAGAAAGCATATTGTAACAATTTGTTTTCCTTCTTCAGCTGACTTTGTACTACAGTGGATGGATGTTGGTTTGTCTTCTGAGTTCCTTCTGGTTTTAGTGAACTTGGTGAAATTCAATAGCTGCTATCTGGAAGACTACGTAGCTGACATGGTCCAGTAAGTTGGCTTTTTTTAACTCCTGCATTCTTGGTAAACTACAGGGAAAAGTTGCAGATCAATAGACAGATAAGTGGAATCTTTTTCATCCGATCTGGATCTGTTTCATTCCAGGTCATACCTGACACTTCTGACAAATATTTGTTTTTCAGTTCTTACAGTGTTCAGGTCTGTTTTAGTTTAACTGCGTGTGCTTTCCCCATTTCATGTGATGGACCTGATTGCGATGCTTAGTCTTGCAGAGGGTCTCTGCTGTTGTATTAGTGTAGGCATACTGAGTTGCATTTAAGTGCAACTTTAAGCTAACTTTGTAAAAGAGATTGTAGTGTTCAGTGTCTCTAGGAATGTTATCAGCAATGCCACAGTAAGGGGAAGGATGAGGAAAATAACATGCCAATTTACTTGTCTGTTTTGGCTCTTTGTAATTTGCCTAAAATCATATTAAGCAAACAATTATAATTAAATGTTCTTTCCTAACAGCAAGATATGCCTCTTGTGCATTCAGACTTCATCCTCTGTGGACATAGAGGTCAGTAATTTGAGTCTCTCTTAGTACTTTAGAGTTCTTTGAAATTCTTTGAAACTGTAACTTTTACAAACAAAATCAGATCATCAGACTCTCCGCTCAGTTTATTCTCATCTTACAAGAGAGCTAATACGGTGTTATAAAGTATTTGTAAGCCATTGGATCTCATAGGCCAGTAATCGTTTTATTCTAAAAGAAACAGAGCATTGATAAATTTGATAAGCGAATCAATTTTTCAACAGTGCTTTTTATGGTTTACTTTCCATCTTGCAATTATTTAAAAAAAAAAAAAAGACATATCTGTATCCCTTTTGACTTCCAGAAGATTTCCTGGTCTGCCAGGTTAGGATTTGACCTGCTTTATTCCTAGAGAAGTGTATAACCATTTTGTCTTTCCCAAAGATTTCCTTGCAAGTCCTAGATGCAGTTGTTTGCTATAACTGTCTGCCATCAGAGAACCTGCCAGTATTTATCATCACTTTGTGCCGTACCATCAATGTGAAGGAGCTCTGTGAGCCATGCTGGAAGGTCAGAACTTTCTTGTAGTTTGGTTTTTTTTTTTAATGAGTTTGCTGTTTTGGCCTCATAGATGAAGTGTCAGATGTGTCTGTGCACATTTGCCATAAATTTCAGTTTGCTTTTAAGAGTAAATTAATAATTGTTTCAAGTATTAGGGGATCAGCACATTGTTAGTGTAAGTCCTGTCATGTCCGTGGAATTTACTCATAGTTTCCTCTCAGCTGATGCAATAGGCTGCCTTTTCTCTAGTGGCATGGAAATGGCCAGACACATTTACTTACCATAAGCGGGCATGATCAGCCAGCTAACTACAGATTTAGGCTAATGAGTGTTTTAACAATTGGATAATTAAGTGTTCTCTTTGAATTTGCAGCTTATGCGCAACCTTTTGGGAACTCATTTGGGACACAGTGCCATCTACAACATGTGCAGGATCATGGAAGACAGGTATCTAACAAAACACAAGGAATTCAGTAGAGGTCCCATGGAGATAGGTAGGGAGTCACTGACCTCAGCAGAACAAGCTGAAGGTTCTGATGCTTAGAAATTAATTCCCTTCCTAGTTATGCTGCTGAAGTGCTCATTTTTTGGCTTTTCTGAATTTAATTTTCCTTTGTTTAAAGTTGTGCTAAATTATTTTCTGCTTTTAATGTTTGTAAATTGCTGTGCAAGGCTATGATGTATAACAGCTGGGAATTCCTGTTGTGACGGTGTATACTCCTATTGACTCTTGTATGCTAAAATAATTGTAGCATGGTCCAAGACTTTCCTTCCATCTATTCTTAGAGCTTACATGGCAGATGCAGCGCTGCTGAGAGGAGCTGTGTTCTTTGTTGGGATGGCTCTGTGGGGTGCTCATCGCCTCAATTCACTCAAGAATTCCCCAACTTCAGTGCTGCCTTCATTCCTCAAGGTAGGATGGGATGCTGGAGGAACTTTTTAATCAGGTATACATCTGGACCCATGCAAATTTACAACAAAAATGTGGTCCCCTACACCAAAGAGATCTTTGTATGCCTGAAAAACAGGAGACAGCAATTGGATATGGCGTGAAGCATGGGGAAACAGTAAAACGACAGAGGATTTAAGTTTGAAACTGAGGCCTCCTTCTGGAATACCTTTGTTGACCAGAAAAGCAAAGTCTGAATTCTTTTTATCAAATATCTACATTGTGGATACTTCATCTTAAAAAATAAAAACATAGCAAAAACATTCACTCTAGGTGTCTTCAGAGACAGCCGCAGAGCGTTTTTAAAATTTTCTCATCTTGAGTGCATCAGGCAGGAATTAGTAGCTTTAACCCCGTGCGTCTGCTCTGGGAGATGGGACTGTATTTGACATCTGATCTACAGCTGTTTGCTAGAGTGCATAACTGCACTTTATAAAATGGGTCTTTGCTTTGCCCTTTGTGCATATAGACTTGAATATATTCATCTCAGACCTTCAGGCTAAGTTCCTAATTAGTAAGGCGTGTTTCATTTGAATTTAAGAAGGTTTCTGATCACTGCTTTCCAACTGTTAACTGACCAAAATGCTTTGTATTCCAGGCCATGACATGTCCCAATGCAGTTGTGTCTTATGAGATAGTTCTGTCCATAACACGTCTAATAAAGAAGTATGGGAAGGAGCTGCAAGCTGTAACGTGGGATATCCTTTTGGACATCATGGACCGATTACTGCAACAGCTGCAGGTAAGTGTTGAGCCTGTCTCGATGTGCTTTCAATCAAAAGACCTTGCTGTAAATATTTTTGCAAATTGATCTCCTGTTTGTACGCTCTTATGAACTTTGAAGCTGAATGAAGGTTTAGCGCAATTGTCAGTACTGTGCTTCTCAACTGAGTTTTCTGTTTGTATTTAAAAGTTAGCGCTTTCTGGTAAGGTAGAGTTCTTTTAGGAATGTTTTTGTCTCCATTTCAGAGTCTGGAGAGCCAAGAACTTAAGTCCATTGTACATGATCTTTTGACTACAGTAGAAGAACTCTGTGACCAGAATGAATTCCATGGCTCTGAAGAGAGATTTTTTGAGCTGGTGGAAAGATGTGCTGATCAGAGACCAGTAAGACTTTACTTATTGTTGTCTTCCTTTCTTGCCAGTTGAATCCATTTTGTTACTCACTACAGTTGGAAGTTGGGAGTTGTAAAATAGCAAGTGGTCAGAAAATCACCGCAAGGACTTACATAAGCCTTATTCTCGGGGGGGGGTGTTGGGAGAATGGATTTATTGTATTTGCTTATACACTAAAAAAAAAATTCTTGATCTTTCTGTGAAAGGAATCTTCTGTATTAAACTTGATAACATACAGAGCTCAGTCCATTCATCCTGCCAAAGATGGCTGGATTCACAACCTGCAGATGTTAATGGAGAGATTCTTCAGGTATGAAATCATAACTTTCTGAATACAAGGCACTTTCAAATGTTTCTTGCCACCTTTTTGTGTTAGATAATTTTGTTTCTGAAGTTCTAATGTTAGTAAATGACTGCTAAGAAGTATGGTAGTGCCAGGGCACGGTACATGAAAGGATTTTGTTTAACAGAAGAAAAACTTTCCACTGAGTTATTTATGCTTTTTTTTTTTTTTTCCTTTATTTCCATTGGATTGTGCTATTCCAATTAGCTTAGGCAGTTACGTTTCCACTCCACAGCACTTTGTAGTTCTGACACCAAACAAGGCTTTCCTGTTAAGCATATGGTTATCCAGTATTAAAGTTATCTGGTTTTGAATTGGTACTCCTAAAAGTATTCTTGTGCTCTAAAATATCAACATATAGCAGTAACAAACTTCTGCCTCATCTGTGAAATGCTGCCAAAGAGCAACTCTTCCTTGATGCCATGTGTTTGGTTTTAAATTTGCTCACCAGAGCACTTGTTTTTCTGACATATGCTTCCTAGTTTGGATTGGAAATGGGAAAACTGCAGTTACAGGTTTCCAGAAGTAGTAAAAGCTGAATTGGGATTCTGGTTTCCAGTTGTTCTTGAATCTGATTTCATCTGTAGAGGCATTAACTGAAGGCTCAGCTGATCTCTAATAGTTATTGTTTTAACTCTTAAGAAGTTTCTTAGTTTACTTTAGTTTTACTTTCTTTTTCTCCTCTCCCCCCTTCCCTAAATATCAGCAACTTTATTTTATTCATCTTGAATTTGCTCTTCCCATTTTAGGAACGAAAGTCGTAGTGCTGTTCGTATTAAAGTTCTGGATGTCTTGTCCTTTGTCCTGAGTATTAACAGACAGTTCTATGAGGTGTGTGTTTATCTGTTTCTGATGATCACATGTGAGATCTTAAGTGGGTGGGAAAGGCTTTGGTGAGGCATGTTTTATGGTGTGCTTCAGGTCGTCTCTGCCACTGGGGAATGCACAGAACTGTGCTTTAAATGTTGCACACGATAGACATGTTTCTTCAGGATGCTTGTAGGAGGCCTTGCCTTTTAATTGTCCTTAGTTGGATACAGGTATGTGCAACTTGCAGTAGGAGCTGCTGTGTTTTGAGGACATACCTGGTTGTGTGCTTCCCTGTTTTAAGGTTATTAATTCCATATACATTTTGTTTTAGAAGAAAGGAAAGTCAATGGGAGAGATGCAGAGTTTATTTAGAAGCTTTGTAAAAAGATGAGGTCTGGAATTAATCTGATGTGAGCAGATTGACTTGTCTTGGTGCTTGCAGTTTAATTGCAATCCAAGATGAAAGCTGTCTGAGAGAGGAGTTACAGAAGAGCTCTGAGGATGTCTTCACCTCCTTGGAATGTACTCAGAATGACAGAGGACAGGAAGGGGCAGAGGTGCTTCTTGGATTCTTTCAAGATTTGTGAAAACATGATGCTGTTGCACGTTTCCTCTCTCTCTCAAAAAAACAAGCCCTAGAAATCCCTTGTCAACAGTCTATTTGAGCCCGGGCTATCAAGTCTGTAGGACAGATGAAAACCAAAGCAGTGAATCCAAGTTCAACAAAAGTCATAAATATTTGGAGGGATGGCATACAGAAATACTTAATTGGAAGGAAGAGGAAAGATCAAGGAACCGCGCAGTTAGTTGAGGAACAAGCCTGATATCAGAATATCAGTGTTCTTTTATTTGTAATTATTTGTCTCTTTAACATGCTGATTGAACAACTGACAGCAAAATGTCAAGGCTTATTAAGGTCTGTCCTCTTGCAGGAGGAGCTGATAAACTTGGTTGTGATCTCTCAGCTGGCTCACATTCCAGAGGATAAAGACCATCAAGTCCGAAAACTGGCTACTCAGTTACTTGTAGACCTGGCTGAAGGCTGCAACACACATCACTTTAACAGCTTGCTTGATATCATAGAAAAGGTGAAGCAGAGTTTGGTCAATTGTCAGTAGCATAACCACATCTTTTGCCAGATCCTCTTACTGTGACTGAGAAGACTAAGCTATGACTGTTATCACTTGCATGGTTCACTAGGCTGTTGTAAAATTGCTGGGTTTTGGAGGATGCAAGCCTGAAGTGCAGAGCAGAAGGGAGCTTTAGAAACCCTATCAATGTACATCCGAGCTACCTGTCAGGGCTTGCAGAATATCCTGCAAGGATGACTTGCTGTAGTCTTTCCTGGCCTTCCGGGATGGAAATAAAGAAAAGGTGTGTTGCAGATTTAAACCATGTATTGCTTTTCTTTTTAAAAGGTGGCTGCGCATTCTCTCTCATCTCCTTCTGAACTGGAAGAGAGGGACTTGCTATCATATTCAGCTTCTTTGGAGGATGTCAAGACAGCAGTTCTTGGACTCCTGATAATTCTTCAGGTAAATGCTGCAGAGCATTAAACACATCTTCTTCAGAATAGTCTTCTGCTGGACTTGGTGTTTTAAATAACCATTCTCCCACTATTAAATATTCCGACTTTTGGCCACTTAATATTTTAACTCTTGGTTTGGTCACTCCTTTTGCTTTTGGGTACTGTATGACTGTTTGCTAAATGTTTTATTTTCTTAATGTTCATTGTGCAATGAATGTGAGCACATTTTCATGTGTGAAGGGCAGATGTGTTCATAAACTAGCAGAAGTGGAGTGGTTCATAACCTTGAATAGATCCATTGTGTTTGGGTAGCATGTCCTGAGGTATGGTTAAGCAGTTGCTAAGAGCTGGTTCACTGCCCTTCTGGAGCCAGGCAGAGTTGCTCTGGAGCCTTTGCAGAGGTTCTGTCCAGAGCCATCTGTTCATCTTGCTTTCAGGAGCAAGTTTTTGCTGTGTTTTTCTTGAATTCTCTCTGCAGATACACATTCTGAATAACAAGTGTCAGTCTGCCTTTTGATTTGCGTTTCTGTTCCTCTGTAGACGAAACTCTACAGCTTACCCTCTAGCCACGCAATGCGGGTGTACGAGATGCTGATTCACCACGTCCAACGCCATTATATATATGCGTACAGCCTTGCTGTTGCTAGCAGCATCAGGTTGCAGGTATGAGCAGGAACCTGTGCTTTCAGGTTGAGAGCTGCATGCTGTCTTTGAAATTCTTGGGTGGCAGGTGGGGAATGTGTGCTCTGGAGCTTGCCAGAAGTAGAATTAAAGGTTTCTTGGCTAACAGGCGTATGTATATGTACTGTAACACCAGAACTGATGCCTCCTACAGAACTAGCCACAGTATCTATTAAAAATCCCTTTGTACTTGCAAAACTATTCCATGGGGAGGTGGGAGAGTATTCTGCTGGCTTGGGTTTTGAGTGATTCCAGTGTCTTCTCTGTTACAGGTATTTGCTTTTCTTCCCTCCACCGTCTTGGCCTTTCCAACAAGGATGGAGCAGTGAGGTTCAGCCCTTACTGTCTATGTGATTTTGTGTAGGTTTCTCATTGCTTTAAGCAAAAGCTGTTTTTCAAACTATTTGATATTTTTGCATGAGCTTAATGGTCCATCAGTAGCAATCAGCAGTTTTTCTAAATCTTCCAAATCCTATTGAATCAGCTGCTAGACAATTCTATAGATACAGCCTAGGATTGTCTCAACTAATTATTCATTGGTGAATTGTTCTTACAAATCACTTCGCTACAAAGCTCTCAATCTCAGACGTGAAATTTCTGTTCCTGCTCATAAACTTAACAAAAATATTGGCAGTTTCCTGCCTGAAACCAGTTTTCACGTTGAAGTTTGATTCGATGATTTATACAAATCTGGTTATTTTTAATTTTAGAGCTTGGTCTTAAGTTCTTTGTGTAACACGCCCCAAAGGATATCTTTCTAAATTCACTAGGGGCATGCATAGAAAAATCCTTAACCTGACCAAACTGACTCATTGCTGTCCATCTACTGGGTAATCCTGTGTTTTTTAATTGAAAATGCCATTTGTCTTGTTGTTTGGTCATCAAACTGGCTACCAAATAGGGTAGCACTGTAAGTCACATGAATAGGCTGTTCTGATTCTTGATTTTACATTACATGTCTATTTCTCTCTTTCCATGTTGTAGAGAAGCAGAGAAGAGGGCTTCTGAGAAAAAGCCTACTGGTACGCTCTCTCCGCCTTCAGGAAGTCCCAGTGTGCCTTCCCAGAACGCCACCATTCGTATAGGGCACCTGCCATACTCAATGGTCTTTGGAGTCCTTCTGCAGTGTTTGAAGCAAGTATGTGCACTCTTCGTGGCAATTGTCATCTTCATGTGCAATATATCAACTTAAACCAGCTGGCTGGAGAATTCTATCCCAGAGTATCTAAATAACATCTGAAAAGCAATGTGTAAATCCTCTTTCTTGGGCATAATCTGTGTGTAATTGTGCAGCTTTACAACCACCAGTGGGAGCACCAGTTCAGCTCGTCAGAAACTTAGAGCAAAGCTTTCATTTCACTCGGCTTCAGAGCAGACAAGGGCAAAAAATGCATTTGTTAAACAAAGATCAGAGAAGTCCTCCTGTTTCTGAAAGGGCATTTGAAACTAAAAGAAACCCTCCTACTGCAAGTTTTTGAAGTATTTTGAGAATTGATAAATGTTTCAGTTGCTAATAAACTGTAAATATAAATTGTTCATTAGTGTTGTATTGGACGTAGTTATGTGCTGAGGGGTTGTCTTGCTCTGGAAGTTAATTTGTGCTAGTGGTTAGGAGAATTGAATTCTGGCTCTGTCTTTTTGAGCCTGGATACAAGTCAGATCTGGATACAAGTTGTCTTCCAGTTTGCGGTGCCAATATTCCATCTAGAGCTGCGTGACAGGCAGGAAGTCACTTGTGACCGCTAAATGCCACTTCTTTTTATGCAGCTACCATGGCAAGACATACCTCTGCCTAGGAAGTGGCATGCTGTCTGAAACTTGATTGGTCTTACTTTCAAACTGAACTGAAATCGTACAAAAGTTTTCCACTTTAACTTTTTCTTTCTTTCCAGGAGACAGACTGGAAGGTGTTGAAGTTGGTCCTCAACAAATTACCTGAATCCCTCCGCTATAAAGTGCTATTTTTAACCTCTCCTTGTAACATAGACCTCCTGGCCTCTGCACTGAGCTACATGGTAATGCCATGCACCCTACTGGTGTATAATCACCAGATCCTTAGTTTGCTTGAGAGTTGGGGGTGGGGGTTGAGGGTTGGTTTTTTGTTTGTTTGTTTGTTTGTTTTTTCCTTCAGTCTAATATTTTGAAGATTAGCATGCTGGTTGTCATTCCTCACTCACCTTCCCTTTTTGTGAGGGTTGTTTTAGGTACAGAAGTAGGTACTAGTGAGTGTTCTTTCTCTGTGTATGTATGTATATGTGTGAAAAGGGAGCTGTGGGCAGTGCCTGTCTACTACCTTTTAGAGAATATTTTTAGTGTGAGGTGTTCTAACTTACTGTGTGATGTGTCAGCTCACAGACAAAAAGACTACTGACAGGCTCCATGGTACCCCAGAAGGCTTTTCTCGCACCGATTTGCATCTGGCTGTAGTTCCAGTACTGACGGCATTAATATCTTATCATAATTATCTGGACAAAGCTAAACAGGTACGGGGAAAGTAAGAGGGTGTAGGGGGGACGGGGCCTGAGCCTGTATAGTAGAGCATTTTCTCATACTAGCTGATTAGGAGACTTAAGTGCAAGGTAACACTGCCCTTTTCTGTTCTAAAAAGCTGCATCTGCTGTATTTGGGGTGGGGTCAGGGGTGAAAAAATACTTTGCTAACTTTGTGCAGCAGTAACTGTCCAGTCAGTTGGATTCACGTTGGATTCAGCGTTCTCTCTCTATACCTGTCCCCCCTCACAGGTTGCCGAGTGACTTTACCTTCTCCTGGAAGACCCTGAGAAACATAAAAATTCTGTTTAATCAGAAACTTAAATATTAATTTCTAAAATGTCTGCTTGATTAAAGTCCAATCTTAAGATTTTGACTTAGAACGCATGCAATACTATTTAAGGTTGTGTGTTAGTGCATTTTGGATAAGAATTTTTGTGCGTCCTACAGGCCCCACAGTAGTGATACCTTGCAAGCCATTCTGAAATGCTAACTGAAGACAGGAGATGGTACATCAGAGGTTTTCTCTTTCC